TTGAGAAGGTTAGATAAATAGAAGTATTAATGTAAGAGAAAATTAATCTTATTGTATATAATACAGATAGGGAAATTTGGAGAGAGGAGTTGCTCGGACATTACCCCTGAATTGTATCTGAAGAGGGATGAGAGGAAAGAAAGGAGAGTAGAGAGAAAAGAGTAAAGGAGGGGAGAAGGAAGTAGGAAGGTTGGAGGAGAGAGTGGTGAAAGAGAAGAGGAGAGGAGAGGAAGAAGAGGGAAGTAGGGAAGAAAGAGAAGGAAGGGAGAAAGAAGGTAGAGAAGAAGGAGTGGGGATGCAGTGAAAGGGGAAATGGGCGAGCAACACCAAAAGTTATGTGCATGTATATATTTCATTAAAAGTATCTTATATATAAGAATGTAAAAAGAATGTATGTTAATATCTGATAAATATCACAGTATATGTATGGGGGAGAGTTTGGAAAAATAAAAAATAAAATTTAAAAAAAAAAAAAAAGAGAGAGCAGCTCAAATGATAGGCAGAATTCATGTAGACACAAAATCGTTGTAAAAGTGCCTTCCTGTTATCATTATTGCTAGTAATTTGTCTTGGACTCACTCTTCACCAGAATGCTCCTCAATTCTCAGTGCTTGGTAGACGCGTTCTACTACACGGACAAGTTTCTCGTATAACTGGGGATGCATCTCTTCTGGGGCCTGGTCCAGTTTCCGCTGAATGTCCTCCATCTCCAGGAGTGTAAGGTACATCTGTTTCCACAGCATATAAATATCAGCCAGGGCATTACAAGATATTATAACAGTTTCCTGCACATTATTTGACGCATTGCTTTGCAGCTTTCCTAGGGGCTTCAAAGTTTCTTGCATTTCTGGTTAGCTGCAGGACAGAAGTAAGGCAGATTTTGTCGTACTTTTGAAGTTCAGGAATTTAGGGAGAGGTCCATGCCTTTATTTCCCATGGAGACTCTGCATCAGAAACCCCCATTCCAGAACATAGTTCACTCTTCTGCAGATTGTGATCAAATTCATATAAAACGTAGTAATCGCCCTTAAAAATGTAGACCCTCTGCTCAGAGTGTTCTCATAACAGAAACATACATCTATTTCCCAGGAAGCCGTAATATTTTGAACATTTTTTAAAAGTTTCATAACTAAGGAGCATTTTGATGGGACCATTATGGAGATTGATGGGAACCCATCAAAATCATCTACTCATCCAGGAACTTCTTAGAATAATCTTTTTCAAATCCCAGAACGGGACTTATAAAACACCTTGGGAAGATTATTTGACCGTGAAGAGAAACTGGAGAATTATTGGTCTGTAGGCAAGTGATCTAAGCCAAACTGGGAGATCCATGGAATTGCCAATACTTTTGAGTTAAACTCTTTAAGAGTTGTGTTACACCTTTTACGATTCTATTCTAATTAGATGCCGTAGAATTCTGTGGCTTGGAAAGATCAAACTGATGACACCCTGAATTTGGATTATTTGAGACTGAAGGAAGGACATTGTTGTCACGGTATGTGGGAAGGACCTTTGGAGACTGGGCAAAGAGAGGCTGCCAAGGGAAAAAATCAGATAAGAGACTGCTTAGCCCTCAACTGGATAGTGCAGTGGTGGCGAACCTATGGCATGCGTGCCAGAGGTTGCACTCGGAGCCCTCTCTGTTGGCACGCGCACCACCACCTCCAGCAGCAGGTCCATCAGGCTGCCACCCCTGCCCGGAGCAGGAGCCCCACCCAGCACAAAGGAGGCGAAGCGGCCGACTAGCAAGCTCGAGTAGAGGTGGTAGAGCAGAGCTCACCAACCATTGTTGGACTGGAACAAAAGGGAGGGGGAAGCATTTTGCACTGCAAATGGGGTGGGGCTAGTGCCTGTGTGATACTCACTAGTCCCGCCCCGTTCTTGCGTGATGCAGCGTCTTGTATCTGCACCCTGCGGTGCGGCATCGGCCGTTTTTGCGCCTTGCAGCACGGTGGCCCATTTTTGCGCCCCCAGTTTTTGCGTGCCAGAGGCGCCTCCCTGCCCCCCTCCCCGAGGGCACCACAATGCTGATGCAGCCCTGGCACTTTGCGATAAATAAATGGGTTTGGGGTTGTGGTTTGGGCACTCGGTCTCTAAAAGGTTCGCCATCACTGGGATAGTGGATGGGGTAAGAGGTTCAGGAAACAACCTTCCTAATTCTTCGGGCTGTAAAAAAGATGGAGATGGGCGATGGTGGCAGGAGGCTTGTACTTTCAGATGTGCAAGATTCTATCAATGTAAGTGTTACAATAAAGTAGAATCAGGTCATCTGGTCACGATTCCTATCTGACTCACCATACAAGGCCAATAACCATCTGCTTTAATCTACCCAACTATTAGACAGTACGACGTTAGAAATAGCCAGCAACTTACTTTCTCAATCTGGTACAGCACTTGTAGCCTCTGATCCCCTACCACCTTGGAAAATAAAAAGGGGAAACAAAAACATTGAGTCACTAGAAGAGAAACCATCTGCGCCACGTTCTAACAAGTCTGCGGGCCACTTTCCCCAGAATTTGGAACGCAGAATTCTCCAGAGGAGTGGCAGACAGTGGAGTGGTCAGACGACTCACTATCTTCATCCGACACCCAGGACAAACTTGATTTAATATGTTTAAGATACCTGGGCATTATTTCAAATGACTTCTCTCCCCCAAAATATTATAAAGAGAGGCACGTGGTCCTGCCATTCAGATAGAGCATGGGCAAAATGATCGGGCACGTACCTGTTCCAGAGAGAAATGGTACACAGCATCGATAGCCCTGCGGGGACTATAGCAGGTGGACATGGCTACCTGTCCCAAGGACCCTGGAATCCGCACTACTGGCAGAGGAAGTCACTGTCAGGAGACGTGCATGCATTTCCATGCCTTAGAAACCCCCTTGCACAGGACTTACCAGATTCGTAGGTCTCCACTCTTTGGATATATGGGGTGACTAGCTTAGGGACCTCAGGTTTACTCCCTGTCAGGAGTCCTTTCTCAGCCTGTTTGTGCTCCAGCTTGCGATAATATTCCTGAGGACAAGATAGGACAATTGGTTAAAGGAGGACAAACCTGCAGCACGTCCTGTCAACGCTGCTAATATTGAATATTCTTGCTTTGACAAAATATGCAGAACTGTCTGGTACTTTTAGAGTTCGAAAGGGAACGGAAGTGAATCTTTGCCCTCCAGGTTAATTGGAAGATGTGAATCATGATCCCAAAATAGGGGAGGGGAAATGCCTGGAATGTTATGTGCAAAGGAAGGGAAATTCAGATCTTGGCATTCTCCATGCTGTGCTGACACTCCGTAACACAGTGTTTCTCAACCTTGACAATTTTAAGGCATGTGGACTTCAACTCCCAGAATTCCACAGCCAGCAATGCTGGCTGTGGAATTCTGGGAGTTGAAGTCCACATGCCTTAAAATTGTCAAGGTTGAGAAACACTGCCGTAACACTAATAAAGGCTTTTTAGGTTAAAAAATGTCTGAAAGTTCTTTGAAGTGTTTCATTAATCAGACACATGACACGTACATTAGAGTTGTCTTTAGAGCATTATATTTTGTCCTGCTTTCCACTGACATCTTCAACAGGGACCGAAGGATGTTTCTGAAACCCATTTGGTCCAGGCTGTGATCTCCTGACCATTCACCTGTTCACCCGGGAGGACTTATTTTAAGAATCCCTGGCCTTGTACCTGACCAAGAAAGCAGCTCATTTCAGCCTCGGGATGCCCCGAAGCTCCAGGACCATGTATAGCCCCAAAACATCTCACCAATGGCTCTGAAGACTCCCTAAATTGGCACTACACTGAAATGTTTACTCTGACCTAAGAGGAAAAGTGTAAGATATATTAATGGTTACATAAATGGTTTAAAGGGTAGGTTAACTTTTGATTCCTCTTCCTGGACAAGACTAAGCACTGTCCTCAGTCAGAAAAAATCTGCACATCTGGGATGTAGCTTGTAGGTCAAATGAACTAATGGGCAAACCAACAGTTATGTTCTTAAAGGGGCTGGTGGGACTGAAGAGAAGTAGGGAAGAGTAACTATTGCAGTGATTGGCGAACCTTTTAGAGACCGAGTGCCCAAACTGCAACCCAAAACCCATTTATGCATGGTCGGGTGCCGGGTGGGTGTGGCCCATTGGCTGGGTGTGGCCAATTTGGGGGGTGTGGCCCATTGGGTGGGCGTGGCTGCGGTGGTAACGGCAGACCGGGTGGGACTAAAAAGTTCAATCAATCAATTCCAACTTTGCAAGATCTTTTTTTTCCCCGCGAGAAGTTGAAATTGACTGATTGATTGAACCTTTTTTTTTTTTTTTGCACACGGCGGGGGAGGCCTAAAGCGAAAAGGTTTTATAAAACCCAGCTGAAGGCCTAGGACTGGGGCGACGGCGCACGTGCCCACCGAGAGGGCTCTGAGTGCCACCTCTGGCACCCATGCCATAGGTTCGCCACCACTGAACTATTGCTTTCCAGGGTCCCCCAAAACCCCTTTTTGCTTTGGGAGATGCCTAACTTCTCGTGCATTCCTTGATTTCCTCATGCTCAGTTCCTCCCTTAACAGCATCACTTCCAGAGGAACAAGGATGGGCCTACAACTGCAAGCCATCCATTGTGATGCCCATCCCAGATCCCACCGCTCTACGGATTCTCTCTGCCCAGCCTGCAATCTGAGACTTGATTCCACCCATGTCCTGCACTCACCTGGTAATAATAGTCATCCCGCTGGGGGTTTTCACTCTGCAACTGTAACATCTGTACCTTGATCACCCAATCTTTTTCAAACGGAATCATGAGAGCAGAGAAAGGATCCACTTCTGGCATCTGAGAGTCCACACAGGGAAGTCTTGGAGGTAAGCAGGAACATGATCTATGAGATACATTTTGAAGCCTTCTAACTCCCCTGGTCCAAGAATTCAACGTCACCCAAGAAATAGATCCCCTCATTTTACTTTTAACTCACTGGGGAGATTTTGAAGGAGCTCTCGAATCATCTGGACCAACGAGCCGTAAATGGAAGGTCAGCAACCAACTTAAATTTTATTCTGAAGGCCTTATCTTAAACCTGGGATTTGTTCCACCAGAGGGGAGTTAAGGGTGTGGAACGAGCACACTAAGCCACACAACCATTCACGTATAAGACCCTGAAGCAAGGGTAAGAAATCTGGGGACAACTTAGTGATGCCCAACAATTCAGCCCTGGTGGTACACATTTGGGAAAAAGCATCTCAAGGAGATTTCCCGTTTAAATAACTCAATTTAAATGTGGCTGTGAATTCATATTACGGTCTGCAAGATTCGGTGTTCAGCCCAGAGTAGCATTACTGATATTTTATTGAACTCTGAAACAAGCTGTCTGGAGATTGGTCTGACGTTGGGGAAGGTGGAAGGTGCAGAAAGACGGTGGTTCTAAATTATAGCAATGATGGTGCACCGTTGGAACATCTGAAGGACCAGGTTGGGACAGATTGTCATGGGGAAAATTGATCCGGTTGATTTGATGACAGGTAATCATCACTGCAATCTGTACAATTGTTGCCTCTTTGCTCTTGCAGCTACACGGAACATCACAATTCGAGACAACCACCTTTACTCTGTGTTCCCCCTTTCCATTTTCTCTAGCCCTTTACCTCGGTTTTTGGCCTCGCTGCCTTTGAGTCAGAAATCGCTGATGTAAGGGATGCAACTGGGTCATTGCGCTGGGCAAGCTACAAAAATGGGAGACAAAGGAGAGCAGTGAATCCCAACTCTCTCCAGAGGTGGAGATCAAAGAGTTGTCTGAACCCTTGTTTACCTGATCTTCTGCTGGCTGCCGCTCAGCGGGCTGAAGGGTGGCGTTTCGGGGGTGTGCATCAAAGCCCATGTTGGGCTGCTGGCGTTGGAAAACAATGGTTGGAAGGGAGGTGGAGAGGCATATCCTGACATCTGAAGAGGGAACACATGGAGGATTAGACCCCAACCGCTCTGGCCATTTTGTTCTCCATCAGTTGGTCTCTGACAGAAGGCCACCTGAAGAGACTAGAACAGGGGTAGGCAAGCTTGGCTCTTTTATGACTCGTGGACTTCAACTCC